AAAAGGGGAGTTTTTTCCCGAGTTTTTAGAGAGTCACGTAGGATTTAATTTTTTCAGCGCGCCACGTAGGATAATAAATTTTAGTGGTAGCCAATTAAATATGGGATTATTAATTTCTTTTAGAATTAAATAATTTAACTGACACGTAAGCAAAATTGGTGAATCAAATAATCCAGTTTAAATTAATTAAATATAAAATATTATCTTTTAATATCAGGAATTTTATCTAAATATTTAACAATTTTTAGCACATAAATATAAACGTAAAAATATTATTTTAAAAAATTCAAACAAACTGCGCATCGCACGGGCTTCATCTAGTAAATAATAATAAGGGAAATCTTGGTTTTTTTTTTCCTTTTTAAATACCGCCTCACAGCTCTATTCTTCTCACCTTTCATTGCCTCTTTCTTTTTCCTTACTTCTCTAACTAACCTATCTTAACACCAGTGGCGGAGCCAGGATTTGTAATCCGGGGGGACAATTTTTAGATGTTTAATAATCGACAATAATTATAAGAAAAAAGAAATTGATCACATAAATTGTTTAATATATATTTGAAATCGCTTATGAGATATGACAATTATTCTTATATGGTGAAAGAGGAGTTGTTAAAAAATTAATTGCATATTAAGAAATTTATTAACCAAATTTTTTTTTTATGCTGGTAAACCCCAATTTTAAGGTATGTAATCCTTAATAATCGATAAATATGATTTATCAAATGATAAGCATTTACACAAATTGATAGTAGATGTAAAGGGATTTGGGTTACATTTTAAAAAAAAAAAAATAATAAATAAATAAACTTTCTTTGACTAAAAATAAAATTGGAAACTTAGTTCCAAACAAGCTATAAAAAAAATAGAATTTAGGCACACATAATTAGAGAGATAAAAAAATACGGAGACATGTGTTCATTACAAATAGTTTAATAACACATTAGTAATCACTATCAACAAGGCGATACTTGATTAAACAGTTAAATGAGAGTAATTAGAGGTTTGAAGACTTATAATACTTTGTATATATAAATTACATACTATATAATGAAATTTAAAAACCAGTAAAAAAAAATGGCAAAATCCAAAAACAAGAAAAAGAAGTTAAATAGGAGCACTTTGTATAAACTATAAAATGAAATAAAAATAAAGTCCAAAAATAGCAAAAAGAAACAAAAAAAATGATCGGGTAAAGAATCGAACCTAGGATCAAAGAGAAATACAAGCTTTACTCAAGCCCATCAACCACCAGACCAAATGTTGTCTTTGTTATATAAGGTATACATGTAAGGTATTTATTCTTATTTACAGCATTTATTTAAGCTAACATAAATTAAATTTTTTTTTGGAAAAATGGGGGGACAACCGTCCCCCCTTGTTCCTACATGGCTCCGCCCCTGCTTAACACCACCACCCCCCCCCCCCAAAAAAAAAAAAATGAAGGGAAAAACTAGCAATGTTTACTTGAAGCCCAAGAAGGTGAGCAGTGTTATCCCTGCTAAGAGGAAGCTTGTTAAGCGACTCATTTTCGATCAATTCGTCTCTTTTTTCATTTCTCTTTATTCCTCTTCCCACTCTGTTTCATTCATGCACTACTATGACGACGACAATGACGGTAACAGTAACAGCACCAGCAACAATACTGCCAAGAATATTAATCAGGTTTTTCCAGTGAATTATTAACATGCCACGATCAAGCAAAGTGGAAAATGGAAGAACACTTGTACTACTAGGCCCGGCCGCCCGGGGTAGCTAGAATTTGTTATATACATCCGGGTGTACTATACAACCGGATTATGCATACATGTATAACCCACCCGGCCCGGGTAGATTATATTTTACAATTTCTTTGTTTTGTGAAATTGTTATTTCCTGATTTCTGATCTGTGCTTTTATGAGATTGGTTTATGCATGTCGCATTTTTATTTTATTTGTGTTTTTTCTCTCTTAAATGGGTGACTCAGGTACCCTGTTTTACCCCTGTTTGACTTCATTTTCATTACCTAATGACGATGTTCTGCAATAACTACTCGCAGTTATGTTGATTATGTACAAGTAAATTGAACTAGCTAAACTTAACGTGACAAAAAATTATAAGCAGGAACTCCAATGAATGTTGGAAGTTTTGAATACTACTCGTATCATAAAACATAGAGCAGCACATATGTAATTCAGACACCTTATACACTTGTTGTTACCGCCACGGCCAAGCCCACCACTGACATGGCCGCGGCCACGCCCACCACTGCTACGCTGCTAGTCAATGAAGTTTCTTTTACTCCCTCCGTGACTCCGTCCCAAAATTATTAGTAAGAATGTAATTTAGGGATGGAGGGAGTAGTTCCTAAATTATTAGTAGGAATATAATTTAGAGACAGGGTCACAGAGGGAGTAGTTTCTTCTACGTATGTGAACATACTTATCCATGAGTGAGGTGCAATAGGTCAATGAAGTTTGAGCAAAGTTATAGTTGTAGTTGGATCACTAAACTTTCAAGTGGGCTCTACAAATTTGGAATAAATTCGTTGTTTTTTCAACAGGAGGTTGGAATAAATACTTTCCAACTGAAAAAAGCTCTTTTCCTCCCTCAAAATCTATATTAATAATAATTAAAAAAAAAAACTCTGTAATTTATTTGCTGACATGGCACTACAGCAGAGGAATATCTTTTATTCTACTGTACATGTAATTGAAAAACTAGACTAGAAGACTGAAAGAATGAAAGATATGATTCATTCCTCAACAATAGTTGCACCATGTGTCTATGTCACTATCAATTAATTAGTTTATTAAAATAGGGAAAGGGGAGGACCTGGTTTGGGCCTCATATGCTTTTGCTTGTGAAAGTTAATGTTTTTTTTTTTTTTTTGAATTGTTTTTTTTTTTCATTTTTTTTAGGAAAAATTGGTGGTTTTAATATAAATTGATGGGTAATTTAATTAGATGCTCTGTTTCTCACTTTTTCCCCATTTGACACTAGAGCTGATTATCAATGGGATGACCGTTGACCAGGCCCAACCCATCCCAAAAAGAGCATGGGTTAACTTGGAAAATTTTAAGATGTACCATGGTGCACCACGCCTATACTTTTGAACAATTAGTAAAAAAAAAAAATCTGAATAATTACAAATTTTGTACATGTAGTAAAAACATCTGAATATCGAAAATTTTGAACATTTAGTTAAAAAATCTAAATAATTGCAATGCATCATGCCTATAATTTTGAACATTTAGTATCTGAACAATCGAGAATTTTAAACATTTTAAAAAATCTGAACATCGCCAATTTTGAACATTTAGTAAAAAAAAAAACTAAACATCGCTAATTTTGAACATTTAGTAAAAAAAAAAATGAACAATCGCAATGCACCACGTCTATAATTTTGAATTTTTAGTAAAAAAAATATGAACAATAACAAATTTTGAACATTTAGTAAAAAAATCTAAACAATCGCAAATTTTGAATTATTATGAGTCAGACAAATTTTGAACTGACTCGTAATAATTCAATAGTTTTGTAACATAAACTGAACATTTAATGTATACACAATGAACATTTTTTGATATAATAATATGAACATAAAAGTTGCATATTATTGTTCAATTTTTGTGACATGTTCATATTTTTTTTACTAAATGTTCATTTTTTGTAAAATGTTCATTTTTTGTAAAATGTTTAATTTTTTTTACTAAATGTTCAAACGTATAGTTGTGGTGCACCATGGTGCACATAATACTAATTGGGTTGAGTAATTCCAAAAAAGTGTTTTTAAATTGTGTCGAAAATACCTTTACTTAGCCCAAAAAGTCAATCACATCAATTAACCTATACTAAAAGCGAATCTAAAATGACACTTGTCACAATCTCATTAACAATTTTCCCGCCCATTTTACTTTTCGTTTTTACGCAGAATCTTTAAGGAAATCATTTTATAATAATTTAAAATATCTTTCTTCCAATTAAAATTCTTAACAATAATAATTCTCCATATAAACCCAACTAATATATTTTTACATATAAGTAGTCTTTTATTTGGTATTATTTTTGTAAAAAAATGAGGTAATTATTATTAAACAATACTGCTATATATTATTTTAGTCTTCAATAATACTATTAACTTTTTTTTTTATTTCTGTCAATTTTGTTACTTTTGCAATAATGTTTAATTCAATTAAATATTAAATCATTTTGTTAAGATATATATATATATATATATATATACACACACACACACTTTATTTTCTACTCTTAAAATTCGTATCAATACTAACGCAGCATGTGCGGGTACTATCCTTAGAATTTTTTTACAAAAACTAAAAACTGTAAAGTCCTTTTTTTAAAAAAAAATAAAGTTTAAGTGTCACTAATCTTGACATTGATAGAGTTGCTTATATTTATTTTTGAATTAGTATTATGAGTTTAATTTTTTTTAATAAAATTAAATACAACAACTCTTTATAAAATTTAATAATAATCGTGCATTGCACGGGACTTAAACTAGTTTTGGAACTAGGTGGTCCGACCTGGCCTGATATCTACTTGATGAGTTACTTTTCAATCAACTACGAGTTTGTAGTTTGGCATCCAAAAATTAGTAAGAAATTCTAAAATCATATTAAGGGCGTGACAATAAATTCCGAACAATAGTAAGTACTTAGCATGGAGTACTTAGTAAGATATAATGAATCCGTTCAAAAAAAAAAAAACTGGGTATAATGAATTAATGATGAGTTTTAATTTAGAAACAAAAGGAGGAGTTTTTTTTTTTCTTCATTGAAGGAAATTATAACTATCTACTCGTAGGACATTTGAAATAAATCTTTCAGGTTTTTCAAGTCTCAACCTGTTTGATTTCAGACATGAACACATGTTCCCGTTGGACGACATTCCTTTCTGGGCAGCATGACACAATGGAATATAGGATGTTTAGGGTTCAAGTCTTAGTCCCAAAGTTGTATCCAAATTCATTAAAATTTAAACTGGATTTTAGGGTAAAATTAGATGTTTTCGGGCGGGCTTGGGTTTTGGACTTAACAACACATTTGCCGAATACCCAAACCCATTTTTTTTCCCAATGGATTAGACCGTGTCTTTAAGCCGAACCATTTATAATCAGCTCTAATCTCAACAGGGGAAATAGTCTCCGAGGTTACCATCCAACTAACAAAACAGATTACAAAATGGACGAAATCATTCATTTTGACAAAAGGCAAAGAGAATTACAAATCACCCAAATACATTTTCACAAAACCAAACAACTAATCTACATTAATCTTCCCTGCCCTCCTCTCTCGCCGCCGAAATTAATTGAAAAAGACAAATTATAAAAAATATACAAATTGGTAACATCATCGATAAATACTAACTTTGTTTCATATTATTTGCAACGATTAGATATTTTTCCTCTCTACTTTATGTCAAATTGTTGCAAATAATATAAAACTGAGGTAGTATATAATGTTACTATTCCAGAGGATAAATCTGATGATTCTTGGTGTTGCACCATTACCGCCACCAGCCTCACCACTATTGTTGCTTTATCCGTCATGTATGCCGCCATTGTACATGACAGAAGCAGGGCAAGAGGGATTTCAAAGAGAAATGATAAAAGAGACGATTTGATCGAAAACGAGTCGCTTGACAAGCTTCCTCTTAGCTGGGATAACACTACTCATCTTCTTAGGCAAAAGAAGGAAGGTAGCGAAACTGAGATGTGAGAATGAAACACTACTACAATTTAACCCTTGTGCCACAAATTTTGCCACATTTTATATTTATTCGTGGCAAAATTTTACATTGCCACGGGAAAACTCCTTTAATCATAATAATTAGTTTGAGGTATAGTATTTCTGCCACATGAAAAAAATTTCGTGGCAAACATGTACTTTCTGCTACAAACACAGCCACAATAAATCTTGTTACGTGGCAAATTGAATCACCTAAATTTTCACTTTAAGAAAAAATTGCTTATTAAATTGTGCCAAAATAAAAATCTCCCGCTTGATTAAAAAAAAGTCCACCACACCACTACGCGTCTTCAATTTGGTCACATTACAAAAAATTAAAAGATATAAAAATCTTTCTTACTCTCTATCTTTCTCTCTCGTCTAAAAAAATTACCCTATTTCTCAATCCCTCAATGGCGATTATTGACAATCAGTCCGTCTAATGTTCAAGGCTTATTCAATCATCATTACTTTCGGTATGCTCAAAAGATATATTTTCCAATTTTTCAGATAATTTTGACATTGGTTTAAAATTTATTTGCAATTGTACTCATAATTCTCCCAATTATGCTTTTAGGTTTGAATTGCTGTAGTGTTTTATAAGTTTTGATAAATCTTTGGTCCGTAGAGATCTGGAAAGCATATTCAAGGTAAGTGTATATTAGATTTTTATATTTTCAATTTTTGATTTTAGGTTATCCCAAAATAATTATAGTTCTCTAATCTTTAAATGCTATTGAACTCTTCGATTATCAACCTGATTTGTTCGTTTTATACGCTTTTACTGCTTGTATGTATTTGAATTTGGTTTGCACTTAATATAAAAGCCTGAGGTTTTCGTGTGACATGATGAGGTTTAAGTGCTTGTAATTGGGGTTATATTTATTTGGCATGATGAGATATCTAAATTTTAATAAGCTTAGATTAGAAGTTAGTAATTATGTTTCCGATAAGCATATGATTAGTCACATCTCCTTCCTACCTTAACATAATGAATTTCATTATGTTTCTAACTTCTAATGCTTACATGGGATTGCTTTGGGTCATACGAATTAGATGATGGTTTTGTTTTTTTGTTTTTATTATTTTTTTTCTTAATTTTTCAATTATGTTAGTAACAAAATCTGGCTACATTATTAAATTGTGGAACTTTTTGTGTTGAATAATTTGGGCATTGTCTATTTTGTTGACTATGATTTCGTATGTTTTTTTTTTTCAATATGTACTACACTTTAGGTTGCTAGCTTTTCACTCCCTTTGAAGTCTAGTGAATTATATATATATTGGCTGATAAAGATTTAGAGCTGTAGCCTATTGTTAATCTACTTATCTTTGTGTATTACAAACAAACAAAAAAAAAATATTCTGATCTCTGGTTTTTAATTGGAGGTAGAATTCTTAAATGGTTTAGAGCTTAGTATTATAAAGTTAGCCTCGTACTACAACTTTTCAATTTCTTTCCCTTGTTTTCTGTTCATAAACTTATAATACTGAATAAGGAGTTGCTGCTCATTTGAATAAGAATGAGCAATCACCCATAGCTTGTATTTGCAGCTAATCATAATCTTTATATTACAAGTTAGGCGGTAACACTAAATACTACACCACTTCCCTCCGAATTTGATTTAAATAATCTTAGCAAATTTGACATATGTGGTCAGCTATTTATACTATATACCATGTTGCAATTCTTATTTGAACCTATATCATATGCTATGTATGAGCATTTTTCTTATCAATGTCTTCTTATATATATATATATATATGTAAGTAATTATTGTTGTTGTTGCTCTTTTTATTTATTTTATTTTATGGTGTTACATTGAACTCATTGCGATTATTTTTATGATTGTAGAAAAAGAAACATGGGAAGGATTGCTCACGAGTTGACCTTCTAATTGAGTCTCGTAAGAGGAAGTCAAATAAATATGTTAATTTGGATACCTTAGCTAATAACATGAATGTAGTGGTAAGTAGTGAAGTTCATTTGTTATCTTCTAATAAAGAAATTCATAATTTTCTTGCTCTAATTATTTTGTACTTGTTTTTAGTCTGAGATGAAAAAGTTAACAGAAGAAAGAGACCAAGGGCATAATAACCACACTGATAAACAAATTATTGAGAAAGTACTTGGTAAAGATACTCATGGATATTTGCGTGCATATGGGCGAGGTAGAAGTATTACAAATCATTTTGGTGTTAAGCCATCAAAAATTGTGAACCCTGTTGAATCTTACTACAGATCATGAAGCTAGAGATGAATATGAAGTTTTGCTTTTTTTTTTTTGTTTATTAATTAATGTACCCATGGAGGATTGAATTTAGCTTTTCTTTTTACATAATTTACTTCGCAGACATTTTTTGTAAGCAAGTACTCATGTTGACATTACTTTATTTATTAATGAAATTTTATTGTTTTAATTGTATTGATTATTTATTTATTTTGACGTAAGAAGCATGAATTACTCTACATGACAAATATTTTACTATATATACAACACGAATTACTCTAAATGATAAAGCTTAGCCACGGGTATATCCTAATTGCCACATTTGTACTTGTAGCAAAGTATCAATATTAGCCACGTAAAAACCGTGGCAAAAAAATTGGGTTTGCCACAACATTGTTTTTCCCGTGGCCATAACCTAGCCACGACCACTTGTGCCACGGGAGTTGTTCGATACAAATCTCGTGACTAAATATCATTGCCACGGGAATTTCAAACTTGTGTCAAACATAATTTTGTGACAGAAGGGTCAATTTGTAGTAGTGAAATAAAATCGTGGAAAGATGTTGGGTATTTATTTAGTTTTGGAAACAAGTAAAAGCAGCCAAAAGTTAGACGACATTTTAGTCATGATTGGAGATTTTAATGAATTTCTACTTATGTCTATCTTCGAAATCATCACATTGTATTTTTTAGTGAAAGTTGTCGTCACATTGTCAAATTATTGTTACAAGGTACCAGACACACGTATTGTGGATTTTTTTGAAAATCAATCCTTACATAGAATTAAAATTTAAGAACGAAAAAAAAAATGTCAATAGGACATCTACTCCACTTTATATAGCTCAATTACCTTAAAAAATATTGTTGATAATTGAGTTTTTATATAAAAGGTTGAAAACTATAGAGTAAACATCTACGGTAATAGTACGTATATATATTAGATAGATGTATAATTTTTCCTTTTTTTCAATAAATTTTAAGGTTTTTTTTCCTTTGTAACTGATAGATATTATATTTAGGATAATATTTGTCACAGTTTAGGATATATTTAATGTATATTTTGTATGTTTATCGTATCTAGGATTCCTTATCCTAGCGTTGTAAACTCTATATATTTGATCAATGGTACACACTCCAGATTGAGGAGTTTTCCCGAAATCTAACATGGTATCACAACTTAGGTTTTAGATCTCAAACTTTTTTTTTTTTTCCAAATTCTTTGGTTTTTTCGTTTGTTTGGGACCTGTCTCGTCACCTTCAAGCTTCCGCACTTTCATAATTAATTCTTCAATTAATTATTCCTTTACAACTCCACTAGCTTATTCTTGTTCTTCTTCCATATGACTAAGGACAGTGACACCGCCTCCTTCCAATACGGATTTTCATCCGGCTCTCGCTGTTAATAATATAAAAAATGCTATTCCATTAATTCTTGATTTTGAAAAGGTTCAATACTCCAACTGGGTGGAGCTATTTGAGAACCATGCGTGTGCCTATAACGTATTGGATCACATTGATCCCAAGGTTTCTCGCCCTTCCGATGTTTCGGATGCATTGTGGCAGCGTTTAGACGCCATAGTGAAACAATGGATATACGGCACCATCTCACCGGATCTTCTTGTAACCATTCTATCGAGAAAATCCACCGCTCAACAAATATGGGATCGCATCAAGGAAAATTTTCAAGATAATAAAAATACGAGGGCGGTTTATCTTGAAAACTAGTTTAATTTGCTACACCTTAGCAATTTCCCCAATGTAACAGCATATTGTCAACAACTGAAAAGTTTGGCTGACCAACTTGCAAACATCGACCAGCCTTTGACGGAGCAAAAGATGGTCATTCGCCTAGTTTCGGGTCTCACAAATACAGACTTTGACACGGTTGCCGCCATGATCCAGCAAACAGACCCACTCCCTTCCTTCAACACTGCACGGTCACGTCTTCTTCTTGAGGAGTCTCGTCGTGCGAACGATCAAAGTCAATCGGGTCAATCTTCCTTTGTTGCACACTTGCACAACAGGAGTCGTCCTCAAGTTCTGGCGCAACGTCTCCGTCAACCCCTTCCCAAGGTGGCCGCGGCTCCGGTGGTGGTCGTGGAGCCGTCCGAGGTGGCCGCAACAGCGGCAGAGGCGCCGGTGGAAAGGGGCGAGGTCGAGGTCGTGGTAACACTGCCAAGCAGAATAACCCACCACACCAACAGCAACAAGGTCAGCAACAACCTCAGTGGGCCGCATCTCAGGCCTGGCCCATTTTCAGGGCTCTCCATGGCCAACCCAGCAATGGCCAGGCACATGGGCTATACCCCCTTGCCCATATCCCACTTCACAGAGCCCAATAGGCCAACCTATGCAGCAGACAACAAAGTGGGCCTTTAGCCTCACGCGGCCCACCACAGCAGGCATACATGACCGGTCCGCCCCAATACAGCCAACTTTACACACCAACAGAATTGGGCTCGGCTTTCTCCACCATGAGTTTGGCACAACCTGATATTGGATGGTATATGGACTCGGGTGCAACATCTCATATGACCAACAACTCAGGTACTCTCTTGCCCCTATTTAATTTAAGCACCAATAATAATATTTTGATTGGTAATGGTTATCGCATTCCAATAACTGGTTATGGTCACACCACTCTCCTTACCAATAACCTAGCCCTTCGTGATGTCCTTCTAGCTCCTCAAATCATTAAAAACTTAATTTCAGTTTGCAAATTTACCTCTGATAATTTAGTTTCTATTGAGTTTGACCCTTATGGCTTTTCTGTGAAGGACCTTCGCACGGGGAAGATAATAATGAGATGTGATAGTTCGGGCGACCTCTACCCAGTCACCACCAACTCTACACCATCTTCATGCCTTGCCTCGACCCTCATGGTCACCTCTCCAACCACTTGGCATAGTCGTCTAGGACATCCCGGAGCAAATTCATTAAGTTTTCTTAGGAGCAATAATTTAATTAATTGTAATAAGGAGCTTGACTCCACTTTTTGCAATTCTTGTCAATTAGGGAAACATGTTAGATTACCTTTTTATAATTCTACTAGCTTTAATACTTGTGCTTTTGATATTGTTCATGCCGATTTATGGACGTCTCCTATTCGGAGCTCTAAAGGTCATAAATATTATTTGGTTCTTTTAGATGATTTCACTCACTTTGTGTGGACTATCCCTATTGCTTATAAATCTCAAGCCTTCCCGACCTTTGTTAATTTTTGTAAGTATGTGCAAACTCAATTTGAGAGGCCGGTAAAAGCCTTTCAAAGTGACCATGGCCGAGAATTTGACAATGAACCTTTCAAAATACAATGCTTAGACATCGAATGGTTTTTAAGTTCTCTTGCCCACACACTTCATCTCAAAATGGAAAGGTGTAGACACCTATTTGTGTCTCCCCAAAACCAAACCCAGTGATGAGTACCTTTCGCGTCGAATCATAATCGAATGAAGTGAAAGTGTGGAAAGTCTAGCGTTGCGGATAGTTTTAATTTCTTTTCTTTTCTTTTCTCTCTGTTTTTGAAAACTTTATTTTTAAGAAAACAGCCAATCCAGTTTGGTTGGTCCATGATATGGGTCCAATAGTGGTGTAGTTGGATGGGGCTTGCAAAGACCTTTCCAATGATATATTATAAGCCCAATTCCGATGAATATTGAGGAAATTATGGCCAATTTACTAAACTGAGTCCAGTTTGAGCTTTATGTACGACCCAATGATCTAGGGGAGGGCCTAATATAATTTATCATTCCTAATGCAATTAGGAATGGTTTTAGTCTTTTAGAAAATTCTAGAAGGTTCTTATCATTCCTAATTCAATTAGGACTCTTCAGAGTTTTAATCAAGATCAAATAGCATTTTCGATGGAATTATATTATTTTATCTTCCAGTACAGGAAATTTATCAGATTTTCGAGAACGCGTTGAAAACCACTTTGGCGTCCAACCCCAGGCCTTGGCGCCTGGAACCAGGCTTGGCGCCAGACGCTAGCCATTGGCGCCTGGCGCCAGTTAGCCAGGGTTGGCGCCAATGCTTTTTTGTGATCTTCAGACTCTGTTTTGTTAAATTATCTTTTTTGGCTGATTTTCTTATAAATATCGTATTAAAAACTCCGTTTTCATCATCATCTACAATCATCATTCACCAATTATCATCAATTACCATTCACCAACTCTCATCAAGATTTTCTTGATTATTCTCTCTCTCTCTTTTTCTAAACTTTGTTTTCACATACAAAATTCCGCATTCGCAAGATCTAGATACACCTAGCCATATTCGAAGTTGCCTTCGCCCTAGACGTGAAATGTTTTAATTTCTTAGGATTTGGTCCCAAATCTCTCTTTCAATTATTTAATTTGATTGCTTTGTTTTGATTATTATTTTCCTTGAAGTTACTAACGTGTGTATTTTGTTATTAGAAAGAGGTACGAGGCATCCAAGTAAGTACTTTAATGGTTTAATTGATATTATAATGTAGAAATCATGCTTAGATTGTTATTTTGATTCCTAGTACCATGTCTAGGGTAACTTTAATATTAAGTATGATTAAAAGTACGATGCTTCCTATTTTCTTCCTAATATTTGTGATTGTTAGTATCATGTTAGGGTTAAAGATTTGATTTTTATCGCTTAGTGACATGCTAGGGTTTGTTATTAATCTTGTTAGTATCACGCCTAGGATCTTGCTATGCTTTAACATGATTATGATTATCATTGATTATGATTGATATTATTATTATTAATGATGTTATTTATTATGTTGCTTGATATGTATTATATTTTATTTGTTATTGCTTGATCACCTTTATTGCATGTTTAAAGGGAATTGGCACTTGTAATCACGCTTAATAAGATAATTAATAATCTTGTTAGGTTAACTTTGATTATAAATTCAAGTGATCGCCAATAATAGTATATTTGCGCATTAATATTCAACCAACATAGATTAAACAGGTTTAGGGGTAATCCTATTGCTTGCATGTTAGTCAGAAAGCGCACATGAATACGAGCAGAATAAAGTAGAGGCCTATTATTAGGGCAGGTTCAATCTCTTTTAGGTTGGATTTGTACCTTCATCCCCGGACCCTTATTTGGTTCATGACCTTATGGAGTTGACGATCTCTTGGATCGTTAAGGGGTGTAACCTTCACCTCGTGAACGGTTTACAAGTTCCTTAAAAACTTGTTGGCGACTCTTTTGCTCTATCTTCTTCCCTTTTGGACGCCACCGTACTTTAGTGTATGATCACAGTGGGGTTCAAGCTAGTGGGATTTTAAAGGCTTGAAATTATTCCCTACAGTTTTTGGCGACTCCACTGGGGAGGAATTCTATTTTAATTCCTGAATTTGTTTCGGCAATGATTTAGAATGAGTGGATGAGA